TGTTCATCAGGGATATTTGTCTGTAATTCTCTTTCTTTGTAGTGTCTTTACCTGGTTTTGGAATTAGGATAATGCTGACCCTATAAAAAGAGCTTGGAAGTGTTCCTTCCTCTTTAATTTTTTTGAATAGTTTGAGAGGATAGGTGTTAGTTCTTCTTTGAATATTTGGTAAAATTCCCCTGTGAAACCATCCGGACCAGGGCTTTTGTTTGCAGGGAGTTTTTTTTAATTACTGCTTTAATTTCATTAATTGTTATTGGCCTATTCAGTTTTTCTGATTCTTCCTGATTGAGTTTTGGAAGATTGTATTTTTCTAGGAATTTGTCCATTTCATCCACATTGTCCAGCATATTGGTGTATAGATACTCATAGTATTTTCTTACAGTCCTTTGTATTTCTGTGATGTCAGTTGTTACTTCACCGCTTATGTTTCTGATTTTAATTGGGTCCCCTCTCTTTGTTTCTTGATGAGTCTGGCTAACTGTTGATCAATCTTGTTTATCTTTTCAAAGAATCAGCTCTTTGTTTCATTGATCTTTTGTGTTGTTTTATTAGTCTCTATGTCATTTATTTCTGCTCTAATCTTTATTATTTCTTTCCTTCTACTTACTCTGGGCTTTTCTTGTTGTTCTCTTTCTAATTCTTTAAGTTGTAGGGTTAAATAGTTTCTTATTAATCTTCCTTTCTTTCTTTTTTCCTTCCTTCCTTTTCTTTTCTTCTCTTTTATTTTTTTCCTCCCTCCCTCCCTCCTTCCTCCTCCTCCCTCCCTCCTCTTCCTTCCTTCCTTCCTTCCTTCCTTCCTTCCTTCCTTCCTTCCTTCCTTCCTTCCTTCCTTCCTTCCTTCTTTTTGAGGTAGGCCTGTAATGCTATGAACTTTCCTCTCAGTACTGAATGCTTTTGCTGTGTCCCAGAAATTTGGGGTTGTTGTGTGTTCATTTTCATTTGTTTCCATAAAGTTTTTTATTTCATTCTTGATATCATTGGTAACCCATTAATTGTTTAATAACATGCTATTTAGTCCCCATGTATTTGAATGTAGTTGATTTCTAATTTTATACATGATCTGAAAAGATGCTTGATATGATTTTAGTCTTCTTGAATTTGTAGAGGCTTGTTTTGTGTCCAAACATGTAGTCTGTTTTTGAGAATGACCCATGTGCACTGGAGAATATTGTATATTCTGCAGCTTCAGGGTGAAATGTTCTATAAATGTCAATTAAATCCATCTGATCCAGTGTGTCATTTAGAGGCATTGTTTCCTTGTTAATTTTTTGTCTGTAAGATCTATCCAGTGAAGTCAGTGGGGTGTTAAAGTCCTCTACTATGATTGTATTGTTGTCGATATCTTTCTTAAAGTCCTTCAGAAGGTGTTTTATATTTTTAGGTGCATATATGTTTACCAGGGTTATATCCTCTTGTTGGATCAATCCCTTTAGTATTATGTAGTAACATTTATTGTCTCTTGTGATGGCCTTCATTTTGAAGTCTATTTTGTAAGATACAAGTTATGCCACCACAGCTTCTTTTCTATTTGCATGAAAAATTTTTTTCCATCCCATCACTCTCATCCTATGTGAGTCTTTTATTCTGAAGTGGGTCTCTTGTAGACAGCATATATTTTGGTCACGTTTGTGTATTTGTTTAGCTACCCTATGTCTTGTTTGGAGCATTTAAACCATTCACATTTAAGGTTATTATTGACTAGTAGCCCTGGGCATGAATCATGCGCCAGTAGCTCACTGCCGCCCTCCAGTAGCTCTCCGCCCACTGCCCTGCCCTCCTGTAGCTCCCTCCGCCCCCCCCCCATTCCTCCCCCCTCATAGCTTGCTGCCCTGTCCCCTCCTGTAGTTCTCTACCACCCACTTGTAGCTCACTGTCCCCCCCTCCTGCTGATCTGTGATCCAGTTGTTATGCTTCACGGCGTAATGACCATTTGCATATTACATCTTTATTATATAGGATAGGTACTTATTTATTGCCATTTTAATTCTTTATGCCTATGTCTCTCCCTCTCTCTCTCTCTCTCTCTCTCTCTCTCTCTCTCTCTCTCTCTTTCTTCTCATTACAGCAGACCCTTTAGCATTTCTTGCAGTGCTGGTTTGGTAGCCTTTTTTGGTCTAGCTCTTCTTTATTTCACCATCGATTTTGAGTGATAGCCTTGCTGGATATAGTAATCTTGGTTTCAGATCCTTACTTTTCATTACCTTGAATACTTCACGCCAGTCCTTTTTGGCCTGTAGAGTTTCTGATGGAAAATCAGTTGACAGCCTTATGGGAGCTTATTTGTAGGTAACAGTTTGCTTTCCCCTTGCTGCCTTTAAGATTCTCTCTCTGTCTTTAATTTTTGGCATTTTAATTATGATGTGTCTGGTTTGGGCCTGTTCGGGTTCTTTTTGCTTGAGACTCTCTGTGTCTTCTGAACTTGTTTGACTTTTTCCTTCACCAGGTCTGCCATTATTTCTTAAAACATGTTCTCTATCCCTTAATCACTTTCTTCCCCTTCTGGCCCTGCTATTTTACAAATAGTGTTAAGTTTCATGTTATCCCATAGTTCCCTTAAACTGTCCTCCTGTTTTTTAATTTTTTTTTTCTTTTTGGTTCTCTGATTGAGTGATTTTTTTCTATCCTGTTGTCTAATTCACTGATCTGATTCTTGGCTTCCCCTAATCTGCTATGATTCCTTCCACTGTGTTCTTTGTTAATGCTATGTCACTCATTGTTGTTGTATCTTTTCTCATGCTATATCATCTGATAGAAGTGGTGGTCTGGCTGTGTTGAGTATCATTATTCTGATCTCTATGTCTGACAAGTTTCTTATCTCCATTTCATTTAGCTCTTCTTTTTTTTTTTAACTTTTTTTTTTTTAATATATTTTATTGATCTTTTACAGAGAGGAAGGGAGAGAGATAGAGAGAGTTAGAAACATCGATGAGAGAGAAACATCGATCAGCCGCCTCCTGCACATCTCCTACTGGGGATGTGCCCGCAACCCAGGTACATGCCCTTGACCGGAATCGAACCTGGGACCTTTCAGTCCGCAGGCCGACGCTCTATCCACTGAGCCAAACCAGTTTCGGCCATTTAGCTCTTCTTTTGAAGCATTCTCTTATTCTTTCGTTTGGGGCTTATTTTTTTGTCTCCCCATTTTGGCTGCTTGTTTGGGTTTGTGACTATGTATTAGGTAGATCGGCTATGCCTCCCAATCTCTAGTGCAGGACAGTGTCAGCCACTGTTTTTAACTTGTCCTGAGTACCCTGTTTGGAGCTATCAGCAATCCACAGCTTGTGGCTCCCTCTGTTAAAGCTAGGTGCCTTTGGAAAGGACCAAGATGTGTACCAAGTTCTGCATTTTCTAGCCCTGGACCCTCAATTAGATCAGGCAAAGACGGAAAACCTCCAGAGACCCACCTCTGCCTGCAGTCTGATTGTATTCAGTCTTGATTAGCATCAGGCTATGGACCACAGGGTGGGGTGAGAGTTTTTCCAACAGGGTGGGGCAATTGCTTATGCCTGCAGGCTGATTGTTATTCTTAGTCTCTTAATGGGCTTCAGAAACTCCACAGGTTGGGGCATGGGGTTTTCCAATAGGGTGGGGCAACCCCCTCCCCCTCCTCCGCGCAAAACCCACTTGGATAGCAAAGCTCCACCAGAAAAATATGTCCTCACAGCATGAGGGAATGACTCAGCACAGGAAACCAAGGTGTCTGCCTTCCTAGGTCTAACCCCAGAGCCCCCAACCCTGGCTTCTGCTCACAAGACTTCATTCCACTCTGCCCTCCCTCAGCTGGACCCCATGGTGAACAGCTGCATGTGAAATTTTGTGCAGTGGCATTTTAAGAGGTTGCCTGCATTTTCAATTATCTTCCCCAGCAGACAGCAACTTTGCTTTTTTTCTCAGCCAGATGTTATGTGAGTATCTTTATCAGTTCTGGTGCTCTGGGTTGGAGAGCCTGGCTTGGGCTTTAGACTCCAGAGTTCTCAGTGGGGACCCCCCCTCCCCGACTGCTGAGATATCCCTCTGAAACCTCAGCTGCTGTCTGTGGGAGCCCAGCTAGCCCTTTTGTGCCTCCGCATTTCCTACCAGTCTCTATGCAGTCTCCACTTTCTGTCTTTGGTTATCAGGGTTCTCTCCAGCTAGTCTTCATTTGATTATTCAGGATGGCTTTTCTGTACTTTAGTTGTAATTCCAGTTTGGTCCTGGGAGTGTGTCAGTGTAGCATCCACTTACTCTGCTGCCATTTTGGAATCTCTGAAAGTTGTTATTTTCTTTAATTGAATTTATTGGGGTGACATTGATTAATAAAGTCATACAGGTCACACTTGACAGTTTTTAAAAGTGAAGAATTGTAATAAAGAATGTCTACTTTAGAATGCTGGCTTGAATCCACATCTGATTAAAGGTTTTTGATAAATATAATAATTTATACTTGCTACATCATCTGATAGAAGTGGTGGTCTGGCTGTGTTGTGTATTTAAGTGTTCTGTATTCTTCACTGGGTCATTAAAATCTTTCATGGGTCGGGAATCTTCTATTTATTTTAGTCAATGCTTCCACTAAATGCTGTTGACTAGATAGAGGAATGTATTATATCCAAATTTATCCTGTCTGTAGCAAAACTAGGATCCCACATAACTGGAAGTCATAGTAGCTGCTTTGTTAGGCCCTGTGGATTAGGGTATTTTGTTACAAGTTCTTGTTCATATCTGCTCAATAGATATCTTGGAACTAACATTTCAGACCTCTTTCTCTAGTGCATTTGTTGGAGGAGGCTTTAAGATTAATCAGAGAGAAGAGCTGCTGTTCTTTTCTCACTCCCACTCCCACTCCCACTCCCACTCCCCTTCTCCAGGATCATTTTTGACAATAAATACGGAAAAGACAAAGCATGAGGAGTTTGTTGAGATTGTTCTGGTGTTTTAATAAGAGAAGCTAATGCTTAATATTTCCATCTGTAATTGTCTTTAGTTACTCATTCTGGGTTTTTATTCTTCCTTTTCAGCTGTTTGAGAACTACTACTTTGGTACCTTAAAGCTTAATTCAATCCACATCTCTCAGCGGTTCTCAGTAGACAGCTTTGGAAACTACGCTTCCTGTGGACAAATTGACTTCTCCTGAGGTGAATCTTGAGAAACCCTAGAAATTGAACATCTTCACAAGGTGCTGAGGGAAAGTGTCTTCATTTTAATTGCCAAGGAGGGATGTGAACTTTTGGATGGTGACTTCCCTGGGTGGTTCCCCATGGGCTCTGTAGTATCTCTGATGGTGTCCACAGTCATCAGACTGTTAGCCAAGAACATGCACCTGGAGAACTGTGCATGTAACCCTTGGCTTTTTGCAGGGTCTTCTTTTCTTTCCAAAGCTCTTCTGTGGAAATGAACCTCTGAAGCCCATTGGAGCTCAGATTTGCATTTCTTCTTATATACTGATTTTGCCCCAGCCATTAAAGTTGTCTGTATTAATACTTTAAAAGAGAATTAAAGACATGTGGTTTCATTAATCTCTCCATCTAGATAAAATACCTGTAATTTTTAGAAGGTTGATTTTTTTCTCCCTTTCCCTTGTACCCTAAATTTCTGTGTGTGTAATAAAAACAAGCATTTACTGAACACCTACTATGGGCCAGGTATTGTGCTAAGTGTATACATATTATTATCCTTAATATTATTATTAAATTATTACACTTAGTAATAATATTAATATTTTTATCACTGACAACACTATGAGGGAGGTACTAATACAGTCCCTGTTTTACATATGAGGAAATTGAGGTCGGGTACCTAACTGAAGGTCACATAACCAGGCAGTGCATAGTGTCAGGATCTGAACCCAGCCAGCCTGGGCTCTTTAACACTGTGCTAAGCTGCGTGGCCCTTAGCAGGGCTAGAGAGAGAACAAGGAAGATGCCTGGCAGACTAGGTATGGAGAGAGGGAGCCACAACGGTTATGGCTGTTCCAGTATCCTAGGACCAAGCAGGAGGACCACTTTGGATGCAGGACTCACAGCATGTTTTGCAAAACTAGATTCGTTAAGAGTGCTCACTTGTACCCTAATATTTTAAATTAAATTTTTTAAAAATTTTAATTGATTTTAGAGAGGGAGGAAGGAAGAGAGGACAACACACACACACATCAATTGGTTGCCTCCCATATGCACCTCGACTGAGGATCAAACCTGCAATCTAGGTATGTGCCCTGATGGGAATTAATCCCTAGACATCCTGGTACACCAGACGACTCTCCAACCAACTGAGCCACACCAGCCAGGGCTGTACCCTAATTTTAATCACTACCCAGAATTTCTCTTTTATTGTGGTAGAAAACACGTAACATAAAACTTACCATCTTAACCTTTTTTAAGTGTACATTTCGGTAGTATTAAGTATATTCATGTTGTTGTGAAACATCTCCAGAACTTTCTCATCTTGCAAATCTGAAACTCTGTATGTTAAAGAACTCAATTTCTCTCTCCCCAGACCCTTCAACCACCCCTTTACTTCCTGTTTCTATGAATTTGACTGCAGTAGATACCTCATAGAAGTGGAGTCATACAGTCTTATACAGTCTTTGTCTTTTTGTGACTGGCTTATCCCCTGTTGGTTCATCCATGTTGTAGCATGTGACAGGATTTCCTTTTTTTTTAAGACCAAATAATATTCCATTGTATATACTTACCACATTTTGTTTATCCATTTATCCATCAATGGACACTTGGGTTCCTTGACCTCTTGGCATTTGTGAATAGTACTCTGTGAACATGAGTGTATAAGTATGTCTTTGAGACCCTGCTTTCAATTCCTTACTACTAAGAATTTTATCTTTAGCAAAATAACTGTTACAACTTTCACCTTTTACTTTGATCTCTCCTTTTTCTTCTGAAGTTGGTACCTTTTTATATTTGTTAGATTCCTGTCCCTTCCCCCTACCCTGCCTCTCGCCTTCCCATGCCGCTGACGCTGACGCAGTTGCAGCATTGTAGCCCTTTTATGTTTTTCTCAGGGCAGCAGCAAGAGGAACAATGATGCTATCAGCAGGACTGTGCAGTTTCCTGGGAAAATGTCAGCTGCAGAAGGTCCCGGCAGTCCTTGCCTGCAGACCAGCAGAGGGAGGGAGCTCAGCACAGCTTTGCCCCACCCTTTGTCCTGCCACTGCTCTGGTGCCAGGGAGCTCCAGCCTGGCTCTCACCTTCCATCTCTTCCTCCTCCTCCCCCTCCTCCTCACATTCTTTCTCCTAACATGTCCTCTCTGCTTCATTCCTTGTTCTTCCCTTGCTTCTTACTTTCTGTTTCAGAAGTTTGGTTCTGGGCCCTGTGTGAGGCCACTACATGGTGGTAGTTCTGTATAACAGATTTGCTTATCACTGTGACTGCACAGGTCATTTCTGAATAAATGAATTTCCAAAGTAACTGCGCCTTTTGATATTTTCATATAATTTTGTAGTTTGACCCCCTTAGTGTATGTTTGGGATACAGTGTTGCCATCACTTATTCACTGGCAAAGCTGTGTCATTAATCCAGAACTTACATACTGGTGCCTGTAGGATGATTTCCCCCCAAGAATTTTGTACTAGTAATACTCGTTTTTGAGATTTTTACCTTGCTTGCCCCAGGGTGTTAGATGGCAAGTGGGAATGAGTACTCCCAGGAATAGTATTGAATGGGGAAGTTGACTGTGGGGTTCAGTGCCCTCATCTCCTCTCGGTGCTACTTCTCTCTTAACTGGTTTCTTTCTGACAGCTGCCACTGGGCAACCTTGCAGGAGGTAAAGATGTCTTCTTTTGGATGTCAGAGATTTATAACTTACGTTTTTAATACATTTCAAAAATACATCTTTATTGTTGAAAGTAGTACCGATGTCCCCTTTTCCCCTCCATTTTTAAAAGATAGGTTTTTTTGTTTTTTTTTTAAAAATATATTTTATTGATTTTTTACAGAGAGGAAGGGAGAGAGATAGAGAGTTAGAAACATCGATGAGAGAGAATCATCGATCAGCTGCCTCCTGCACATCTCCTACTGGGGATATGCCCGCAACCCAGGTACATGCCCTTGACCGGAATCGAACCTGGGACCTCTCAGTCCGCAGGCCGACGCTCTATCCACTGAGCCAAACCGGTTTCAGCAAAGATAGGTTTTTATTGATTTTTAGAGAGAGAGGGAGAGAGGAAGAGAGACAAACATCCATGTGAGAGCAGAACACTGATCAGCTGCCAGGGATTGAGCCCACAACCTGGGCACGTTCCTTGACCAGGAATCGAACCAGCAACATGAGCCACACCAGCCAGGGCTGCAGCCGGTTTCTGAGACACTGACTTCACCCAATTCCTGGAAGAGGAAAAGGGAAAATGAATCTCACTCCAATTATTACATAATGAAATACATGTAAGAGTAAGGCCTTCTTTCCCCCAGCTGCTGGCACCGGCTTCCCTCTGGCACTCGGCACCCGGGCGTCCCTCACAGCCCCGGCTTCATCCGGAAGGTGGTCCAGTCTAATTAGCATATTATGCTTTTATTATTATAGATAGCTGTGTTGTTATGAACTCTGTTATGAAGAATAATTCTGATTTTTTTAAAGGGGGCATAATGAGTTACTCTGATGAAGTCCATATCCATGGTAGAGACATTTATTTTTGGGTGAGCTCCAGAGTTGGACATCGATGAGAATCCAGCTTTATGCCGACACAAAGCTTGTTCAGGTTTGCTCTTTCCTGGAGCGAAAGGGCACCTGACGCGCTGAGGCACCCTGAGCTGAGGAACCCCCCTCATAGTCGACTGTGATGCTGTTAGAAATAGGGGTTAGAAATAAGGCGAGCCCCAAACCCGGGTCCAGCGCACCCTCGGAGCCAGACAGCAGGCTGTGTCTTCACTCCTGCAGGAGGGTGCGCACGCACAGAGCAGGTCCGCTCATGGTTTTATGTTGAGGCAGGTCATCCATCCCTCATTCCTGATTGGTCAGAGCTTAGGCTCGCAGTCTTGCGTGATTGGCTAATTTAAAGGAAAAAGGGAGGGGCTGACCTTTGCTGTTTCAAAATGGCGGCCCCCAGGGGGCTCTAAGTCACTCGGCCAAAATGGCGGCCGCCTGAACGCCCTTCTTTGGCAGAAAACACTGTTTTTCTCACAATGCCTTGGGATGCGGATGGTAGAGAAGGGCTGTTGGTAGCTTTTTCTGTTGTCTTTAATCAAATGTTCTTTTCAACAAATATAAAATAAGTTAACTTTGTGAAAAATCATCAAGCTATACCTACTTTCTACTTTTTAAAATGTATGTTATAGTTTAAATATTTGTTAATAAATAAATTTCATCATTCAGAGGTTACTACTCCCCGTACATTTAAGCACATACCATATTGTTAAGCCATTTTCCAGAATATGAGCGCGACGCTCTCACTTGCCATTTGTGATTAACTCACCCAGTCCTCACAGTGGCCGCTTCCGTCGGCGTGCCATCCTCATTCACAAGCCGCGGCTCCCGAAGGTCAGGAACTCGCCAGAGGTCACACAGCTGTGCCGGGGCTCTCGGAGTGTGGTCTGTGGGTTCCTGGGCGCCCAGACCCTGCTGTGGGGGTGGGGTGAGGTCCGCCCTGTTTTCACGAACTAGAAAGGCGTGGTTACCCGTTCCGCGTCCTCCCGGGGGTGCGCGTGGTCCCGAGGCTGCGCCCGGCGGCGTCACAGGGGCTGCGGGGTGCGTGTCTCCAGGGCGGCGCGGGCACAAATACGCGGTTTGCTCTCCACTCACCACGCGTTGGAGAAGTCGCATGCCGAGCCCCACCGCTCGGCCTCACAGGTGCCGGTGGGAGAGAAGACTGCACAGAGGCGAGCGGTGAAAGGGGCCGAGCTGCAGCGTGGCCCACCCGCCTGATGGCGTCCTTTGAAGAGGAGGCCCTTTGGACGCCCGAACCTCAGGTCTGTGCACAGAAGGCCTCGCGCCCCAGCGCGAAGGTGGCCGTCGCAGACCAGGAGGCGCCTCCGTAACACCAGCCCTACCCACCCCTGAATCGGGCTTGTAGCCCTCGTACTGACAAAGTAAACCTGCTGGGTAAGCCGCCCCGTCTGGCATTTTGTGTCGGCCCCGGCCCTGATACACTTGCTATAATGCAGAAGCCAACCTACCTGTCGTTTTTCGAGCAGGGCATGAACGAGATTTGCAAAAATGTAAGACAATGACACTCTTCTCACTGATTTCTTTAGGGGAAGATACAGTTTTTCATCAAATATATTGTCTTGTTAATATGCAATGTGTTCCTTATTATTTTAAAATAAATTTTAAAAAATTTTTGTTTGAAAAAGCAGATTTAATACCTTTAGAGCAGTTTTAGGTTCACAGAGGAAGGCTTCATTTTATTTTAAAGTCCAGCCAATTAGAGCCACATCTGTCTCACAGAAACAAGAGTTCTTTGGGGGCCTCATGAGCTCTGAGTGCACAGGACCCCGGAGGCCATACAGTCTGAGAACTGCTGCGCTGCACGGTCCTTGCCTCCGGGGGATGATATTACACATGATCTGTAATGAGCTTTCCTCACCCCCAGGTAGGCGGTGGGTCACATCACTGTCATTAGATACACGTCCGTATCATTTATGTGTAATGGCTGCACAGCAGTCCATTGTGTACATGTTAACACGGAGCTCGTAGGTCTCTGTGTGATGGTCAGTGAGCTGGTGTCTGGGTTTGGCTATTGAAACAATTCTGGATGGGACAGATTGTGCATTTGTCTCTTATGCTTGTGAGGTCATCTAGGAATGGGATTAAATGGTTTTGAAGATGTGGTTAATTTAAGTTTTTTTATTTGGAATGTAAGGTTTCTCCATTTTGTTTTACTCAATATGAAATACAAACAGAACAATGCATAAAACATATGCACCCTTTGACAAACACACCCAGCAGCTTTTGGGCCCATTGGTTTGAAAGGCTGACCTGCTAGTAGTTGTCTCAGAAATTAGGAAAACTGTTTCTTCATTATAAGCTATTAGAAGCCCGGTGCATGAAACTCATACAAGGGGGGGGGGGGGGGGGGGGGGGGGGGGGAGTCCCCTCTCACTAGCCATGAGCCGGGCTTCTATCTGAGCAGCACTCCCCCTGTGGGATTGGGCCGAAACCAGCTCTCTGACATCCCCTGAGGGGTTCCGGATTGCGAGAGGGCACAGGCCAGGCCGAGGGACCCCACATGTGCACAGTGGGGTGGGGGAGAGACACAGGAGGTTGGCCAATGGGGGGAGGGTTCTAGGGTGTGTCCAGCCCCTCTCCCTCAGTCCCCATCTGCAGGACCCCAGCAGGAAGCTAACCTACTGGTCGGAGTGTCTGCCCCCTGGTGGTCAGTGCACATCATAGCAAGCGGTAAGCATCCTTAGCATATCATTAGCATATTACACTTTGATTGGTTGAACGGCCGACTGGTCAACTGGACACTTAGCATATTAGGCTTTTATTATAGAGGATAATTATTGCCCATTTTCTACAACCCTTTTACCTCTGGAAATCGCCAACAGAAATGGCTTGGCTGTTGGTTTAACTAACCGTCTTTGACTGTTGGTGATTTGCTTTCAGCACAGGGCTGATATTGACCCAGCTTTCAGGTGCTGCTGAAGGCAAGTCCTATTGGAGGAGCTGCCCAGGATGTGGGAAACATTTTGACCTTCAAAGGTCTGGAAACAGCTATTGTCTTATTGATAGGCATTTTGTCAATGCCTTTCCACTCTCATTTTGGGAAACTTTGGTAATTGCCGACCAGGGACTTCATAAGATAGTGTTGGAATGGGAGCGCTGTGATCTCTAGGACCTACCTCCTCATTGCCTGGGAGATGTGACGAGCTTTGCTACAAGACTAGGATTGAGATGTGGGAAAGGATGGCAACTTTTAGCACATCTTCAGAACGACGGGACATCATCGCTTTCTCTTCCCACCCTGAGGGAAGAACACATTTTTTTTTTAATATATATTTTATTGATTTTTTATAGAGAGGAAGGGAGAGAGATAGAGAGTTAGAAACATCGATGAGAGAGAAACATCGATCAGCTGCCTCCTGCACATCTCCTACTGGGGATGTGCCCGCAACCCAGGTACATGCCCTTGGCCGGAATCGAACCCGGGACCTCTCAGTCCGCAGGCCCACGCTCTATCCATTGAGCCAAACTGGTTTCGGCAAGAACACATTTTTTAAATGCCCACTGTGCCCAGGCATAGTGTGTAATTTTGCACAAGTTTCACAGCAATCTTCTGAGATAGATGGTATTATCATTAATTTATAAACAGAAAATAGGTTAGGTAATTTGTCCAGAACCCAGATTCCACCCCCCAGTCTACATGACAATAAACCGTGTTCTTCTTCTTCACACTGCTGCTATACAAACCAGCAAAGCTGCTTTATTTACTGGGATAAGAAGACATCAGTGGCCATGTCCTCATCGCAGTACCACCTCTAAGTCCAACTGCAAAGGACAAAGAAAACACGGAAAGGGAGCTATTGTTTAGTTTTCCCAAGGGAACCCCAGCCCACGCCATCGATGAATTCAGACTCAAAGTGACTGTGAACCTTATAAACTGTGTTTTTTCCTACTGATTAAGATCATGTTTTTCATTGCCTTTGATTTTTTTTAAAAAAGATCATACCAGCCAAGTTGTGTGTGTGTGTGTGTGTGTGTTTTAATAAAAACACAATCCAGGGCTTGGGTCCCAAATTTTCAGTGTTTTGTCCTGTCAGATTATCTGTTTCCTCTTCAATTTATTTATAATATAAACCTCACCTCATTTATGCTCTGATACTGGGACTGTGCCCAGCCTTCCCAGCTGCTATGTCAACACATTTCTACAGGCAACGATAAGGGCCACAATTTTAACACGAACCTAAACACTTCAAACAAAACTAGCCCCCCTCCCTTGCTCCCCTTCCCCAGTGGCTTATTAAAATCAACTCGAAGTCAAAACCATGAGCAAATGTGCTTCCTCCAAATTGGCACCCTCGAGGCAGATGAATGGTCGGACATTTGCCTTTTGGGGTTGCCCTAAAAAGAGCTAACAAAAGGGGTGACAGCCTCAGACAGCTGCTTGGGGAGGAGGACATCTGCCTCTGCTTTGCCAGCCATTCAGTGCTTGGGTCTGGCCTTGAAAAGAGCTTGTGGGGCTGGGGAGCAATAGTTCGGAGGAGGCAGCCAGTTGTTATGCGGCTTTTGTCTCCAGGAAGCCACCCATTCCTGTAGGGCCCGAACGCGCAGGAAGCCAGCTGTCAGGGCTGTGGCTCAGCCCCCTGGGTGGGAGGCAAGAAAGAGAAAGTGTCTGTGGCCAAATTTCCGTTTAGACACCTGGGCCCGGCCGGCTTTGTCACCGGAGAGTTTTTTCTTCTCCCACTTCCACATTCCCCAGGGGCCCCTCTTGCTCGCCACCCTTGGGAAGGCAGCAGGGGCGCCTGTTTGGATCCTGGGTTTGCAGCTCCGAGTGCGGGGCTGGCTGGGCTCTGCGGCGGCTGCCTGTGTTGGGGCGCTCTGATCCAGCGCTCCCCTTGGAAAGCTACCCCCTCCATTTTTTTTTTTTTTGGACCAGGTATGATGATGTCAAACGTGATGCTGATGCCACAGTTACAGACACGGCCCCTGTTGGCGCAGCCTCTCTGACTCGCCTCCTCTCCGCGCCCAGCGCTGGCTTCTTCAGACAAGTGCATCTCCCAACCAGGTCACATTTCAGCCGCGGCCCGCTGTCCGTCTGTCTGTCTCCGGATCAGGCCCGGCGGGAGGAGCGCGGAGGAAGGCGGCAGCGTTTGCGTCGCCAGCCGTGTGGTGGGCGGAAGGGCACTGAACACCGCAGAAGTCAGACCCCGTCGGACCCAGGCCACGATGCGCGCCCCGGGCTGCGGGCGGCTGGCGCTGCCGCTGCTGCTCCTCGCGGCGGCCGCCTGGGCCGAAAGCGACGCCAAAGGGCTCAAGGAGGGCGAGACCCCCGGCAATTTCATGGAGGACGAGCAATGGCTGTCGTCCATCTCGCAGTACAGCGGCAAGATCAAGGACTGGAACCGCTTCCGAGACGTAAGCCTGCCGGGCGGCGGGGGCGAGGGCCGGGCGAGGGGCGCGGGTTTGCGGAGGGAGCTGGGGAGCCAAGACCCCCGCGCGCGGAGCGGCGGCTGCAAGTCGCAGCCAGAGGCTCCCGCAGCCCCGCCGGCTCGCGGCTCCGCGAGTCAACACGGGGCGCCCGCCGGGCTCGGCCAGTCGCCGCCCGCACAGCCCGGAGCCCCTTTCTGGGTCCTCCTGGCCCGACCGTCTCCCCCGCCGCCTGCGGGGCGCTGAGAGGGATGCGGGATGCAGGGTGGTGGTGGTCGTGGGTTGCAGGGCGGGAGGGGCGGAGACCCAGCTACCCGCGTCCTTTCATTTATTTTTATTTATTTGTGAGTCGCCCCAGGCCCGCACCCAGCGGGTGATGCTGCAGGCTCCGCTTACCGGGCGCTGCGGAACGGGCAGGTCTGGGTGGGGCTGGAGGGGAAGATGGCACGTGTGCCCTGTCCTCTTCTCGGGCTTTGGGGAAGGGGGCGCAGAGGGGAAAGGGTTGGGGCTTTGAGTTTGGGGGCGGGAGGGTCCTAGCGATCCTCAGGCGAGGCGGTGAAAGGCGTGTCTGAGATGGGGGAGGGGGCGGGCGACGGCAGTGAAGACACCCGCGGCCACCCCGCCCCGGGGGCCTCCAGAGCCGGTGCCGAGTGCGCGCACATGAAATCTGCTTTCCTGGACCAGCCTTGCACGGGGGAGCCCGACCCCGAGCTGGGGAGCGGTTCCGATCCGGAGAAAAGACTCCCATCGCCCCATGAGCTGGGAAAGCAGAGGGGAAAGCCCAGCGCGAGGACCGGGGCCTCGGCGACCGCCGCCGGAGCCCGGCTTCACCTTGGGAGGAACTTTGCGGGGCTGGGGTGGGGAGGTGGCTGCGGACGAGCCGGCGTCGCTGCAGCACTTTGTTTACAGGCACCTGTAGATCCGAGGGGAAACCGGAGGCGGCGTTCCCAGAGGGGAAGTGAGAGAGGAGCGGGGCGCCGAGGGCGTGGCGGGCCCAGGGGAGGGGCGGGGGTGGGAGTGTGAAGGGGAGGAGGGGCCGGGATGCGCCGAGGAGGCGCTGCTGGTCCCAGCGACCTCGGGCTCTCCGATGCCAGTTCTCGGAAACCTTTTCTGCGACCTCAGTTCTTGCTCCTCTTTCCCCAAATGCCCTCATCACACCTCCCTAGTGCGACACCAGCCACCCCGTGACCTTCCTCATCTTCTCTTAAACTGCCTGCACCCAGGAGTTCTTTACCAATGTGTTGGGAGCACACAGGCTTCCTATGAATTGCAGCCAAATGATGGGAAGAGGCTGAGAGATAAGGATCTTTTTGTTACTGCGAGAGAGAAGGGACTGTTTCTCTCCAATGTCATGGCGGGCTGAAATGCATCAGGAGTCGCCTGCTGCCGGTCACCGTGGCCTGGGCCCCAGAGTGGGGGTTTGCCCCACCCACGGCAGGTCCAGCCAAGGCACAGTGGAGCTCCAGCCAGGCCTTTTCCTCGGCCCCTGCAGGCCAGGCACAAATTAGCTGCAGTCTCCTGTCGCTGCCTGGGAAGCAGGCCGGTCACAGCCGCAAGGGAGGGGGTGGGTGGTGGGGGTGGGGGGAGCGCAGGCTGGTCCATCCCATCCGGCATCCATGTGTCACTGGTCCAGGCCTCCCTCAGACTGACTGGCTGTTTGATCTTCCAAAACGGTGCTGGTGAAGGTCAGAAGGAAAAGAAGTGCTTAATCAGAACAGTAAAGGTTTAAAAATAAAAGATGCCTCCCCACTCCCTTCCTCCACCTGCTTCCAATAGCCCACTCTGTGGGTGAGGATAAATGATTGGCTGCTTGACCCCTGGCACAGGGCTGCCCACCTGTCTCCCTGTCTTGATGCCAACCGCTTCCCCCTTCCTCCCATGCTCATCAGCAGAAAGGCACCAGATTTGGAATTCTGCAGGACCTTCCCCATGGGATTCATGGAAAGCCGGAGGGCATGGATTGGTTCGGGTGGCCTGAGGCTTTTTAGGGCAGGTTTCCGCTAAAACCCCAATAAGGAGGCGCTCTGGCTGCAGGAGGACGGGTCAGGGGAGGCTGTGTGGAAGGGCCCAGCTCCGGGGCTGCTGGCAGCTTGTGCAGAAAGGCAGGACGCTGCTAGCTCAGTCACTGCATTGCACAGCTTTAGGGGTGCCCCAGTGTGCGTGGCGCCCTGGGATTGTGCAGTGCACGGACTGTGCACAGGGGCTCTGCCAGCACCACAGACTCCTCTCCTCCCTCCTCCGTTAGCAGAGGTCCCGCTTCCCACCCCAGCGCCTTCAGCCTCTGGGTGGGCACAGGAGCATCAGGCTTTGTATACATTTCAGCGGCTGAAAATATATCCCTTGGCTCCTCAAAGGCGAGAGAGGCGTTTCTTCTTTCGAACCTTTGAGGTGTTGTCAAGTTGAGCCAGAACCTTGTTCATAATCAATCACAGAATAGCACGGGGTCCCCAGTTGCCTTGGTGGAAGGGAGGCAAGCAAGAGAACGGCATATTCTTAGGAAATAGGATGGGGGAGTCCATAGTATGGGTGGGGGTCACGTCTCATTGAATGGCACTGACTGAACTGAGGGGGAAGATTGAGGGAACTGTGTCTAAGGGGTCAGGGGAACGAAGGAAAGGAGGAAAGCTTGGGAGTGGTTCCCACGTGGAATTGGTCTGAGCTGGTAGGGGGAGTCCAGCTTAGCCTTTTTCTCTGAGCACTAGGGTGGTAATGGAGACAGGGTTTACCAGTGGAGCAACCCTCCCAGACAGTGGGCACAGGGCTTTCATATCCTGGCCCCGGGCAGACCTCTGCCAATGCCCGGGAGGAGGGAATGTCATGTCAGAGGAGAAGGGGATGCTGCGATCTAGCTGAGCCTGACCCTGGGCAGGCCTGGGCTTCCCAGAGCCCCGCTTCCAGTGCTACCATCCGGATTCACTGAACAGGGTGGGACTGTACTGCAGGTCTTTGGAACAAAGCGTCCAGGGCCTCAGAGATAGAGATGGACAGTTGAGAGGAGACAGGCCCATTACACAGCATTCTTCCGGCAGCTCCAGGAGCCTGGGGAGGCAGCACTGACTGTTTTTTTTCTTCCCGGCTCTTCCCTACTCTGCACTCTATTTCCATTAAAAGTTAATGGTACTGATGAGTGTCTGGCACTGTGCTTGGCACCCAGGAGGCACCCAGTTAATGTGCTGAACCACTGATTGCAATGAGTGCTCACATCTGCCATTCCCTGCAGGAAGCACTCGGTGGGCAGCACCTTGTGCCCTCGGCAGTCTGTGAGGTAGCTATGATTACTGGATGGCCCACCCATTTTGTGGTTGAAGAAATGGAGGCACAGAGAAGTTAAGTAATTACCCAAGGGTCAAAGAGCTAGCAGGTGGCACAGCTGGCATTTGAACCCAGTTGTCTAATTCAGCTTTGCTTTTCAGGGAATTCTAGGCTTAACCGTTAGTGAGAACGGGAAGGAAGAATCTACCCTGAAGAACAAAGTCTAGCCTGGCTTGTGCTCTGTGAGTCTCAAGGAAGCCCTGGGCAGGAGCAGCCCCGCCTAAGGAGTGGGCCTGAGGCCCCCGCCTGCTCCCAGCCTCTGGGCTAGTGAACTCCAGCGGCAGCTGAACACCCAGGAGAGGCGGGAGTGCGGGTCTGGAGGCCTGGGTTCAGGTTCTGGCTCTGCCCCTGTCTGGGCACGTGATGCCAGGTACATCCCATAACCTCTCTGAGCTTCAGTTTTAGGCAGGGAAACGGAAGTGGATGCATAAACACGAAGGCATCCATTTCGGGCAATACTCTGCCGCCCCACCGAACAACCACCAGCTGGCTCAGCATTTCCGGGCTGGCCCAGGCCATGCCTCGGTCTCCATGAAAAGATGTTGACGTGTGTTCACCAACTCACCCATTCACTGCAGACCCAAGCCCCTCCCAGGCGCCAGGGCTTTGCTGTGATCCTGGGCTCCGGCCCAGGGAAGTGTCGCCTGCTGGCCACGCAGGATTCCCATGTCCTTATGCTCACCAGGCGGGTCAGTAGCAAGTTTTAGCCACACAGGTGCTGCCTGCCCCGCACACCTTCACCAGTGCCGTGTGGGGGTGAACTGCACAGATGCTTGTGGATCAGCGTGGGATGTGAGAAGAACACAAAACTGGGTCAGAATGGGGTTCCATAATTGGGGTTCTCCCCTAGCCTCTTCCTCCGCCCTGGCTTTGAATCCTCTCTCACACAAGAGCGGTGTCAGCATGGCGAGGGACTCTTGAGCACCCAGCAGGGCTCGGAGCCCTGGGAAGAGGGAGAGCAGAGCCCGCTGCCTGGAGAGGCTGTCATGTGCTCCTCTCATCTCACAGCTGCTCTAAGAGGATAGCCAGCCGCCGCCACCCACCCGTCTAGGTCTTGGCGTCTCCATCTCCGGGCGGTCAGGGCTCTGTCTGCAGGAGGGGAAGAGCTCTATCCCACCCCAGCCCCCCGGGCCCGGGAGAGCACTCAGCTTGTCTTCCTGGTGAGAGGACAGACTAATGTGAGGACAGACTAATTGTGTGGCCGTGGGGGAGCCACTTCACATTTTTGGCCCTTGATTTTCCCATTGGTTTAATAAGCAGGCTAAACAGAATCCACCAAGCCTGCCTCACTCTGCGATGCCAGGAAGACGGCACTAGAACCCGTGAACAGCCCCTCACCCGCAGACATACCCCACCACCCACCCACCCCATCCTGGCAGCAAGGCTTGAGGTTTAGGGAAGGGATTTTCCTTTTGCTCTTGAGGAAATATCTGTGACAAATCAGGGTAGGGGATGTCTTAGCCAGAGACGGAGAAACCTAAGAAATGGGGCGTGATGGCGTCTTGGGGGGAACCGCAGGCTGGGGACGGGCATGCCGCTTCTTACATGTTGATTGCAGCGTAACATGAGTCTTCTTAGGATTGCAAATAGGAGAAGGTTTCCAGGCAAAGGCCTGGGTACACCTCTGTCTAACCTGGTCGGCTGTAGGGTGCTGCGCTTCTTGCCATGGGACAGCC